TAATGCATGAAAATCCTAACCTCAAAAAAATCACCCGTTATAATTTAATCATCATTTTCCCGCCTTTTTCTCAGGAACGGCAGCCGTGAGCTCCTCAAACAGCCGGAGGACGATTCAGTGCCACCCACTGGCTGTTGCCGGTGCTGTTCCAAATTCTGTCTGCCATGCCGCCGTTTGCGTTGCTCGCGCTGTTGTCGTCGCAAACCGGGCAAGACCGGCGATGAGAGCGAGGAGCCTGTGCTCTCGGCAACCAGCAGCGCCTCAACCACCAACCTCGAAGTCATCGATGAAGCGCGCCACAGCGCAGACGGCAAAACCAAGTCGAGTTGCTGGCAAAAATTGAACTGTTGCAAGAATTGTCGGAAGCAGCCCAAAATAGGCACCGACAGCACTGATGAGCAAGCGAAAATGACGGCTATTGGTAAGACAGAGACTGCGGCAGCGGCAGCGGCAGCTGCTGCCGCCACCACAACACCACCCAAAGAGGGTAAATGCGGACTTTGCTTGAGCAAATTGTTCTGCTGTCGGCGCGTCAACAAAGTGGATCCCACAACGGGCGACGAGACAGAGTTGAAGAAGTGCTGTTTCTGTATTCCTTGTCGGCGTAAGAAGGGCGGCCGCGGCGCTTCAATCGGTTCCACAGTTTCGCGAGGTAGCTCCGTGGCCTGGCAAGATCCGGAAACTGGTATAGCGGCCACTGATGCATCGGTGGTGGAGGGCGCCAGCTCTCCAGAAATGCTGCCGCCACAGTAAGTCTATTGCGCGTGCTCGGTAAGAATGTAGCGGGATAACTAATTGTCGTCTGCACTTTCAGGGGTTGTTGCAAACGCTTTTGGAACAAACTACTGTGCTGCCGACGCAATAAAGTGCCGAAACCAAGCGAAAGTCGACGGGCTAGCATGAAAGCGCCGCCGCCACCGAGTGAGGTAAGAACACTTGAAATTGAAAATAAAACGCGTTTTATAATTACCAATTACCTCAAAACACCATAGGATACACGGCGAAAATTGCACGTCGACCTGGTTGAGTATAACTCGAAAATGAAGGGCGCTATTCCGGTGTTGCCGCTTTCCTTGGCCTGGTTTTGCGTTATCTGCAACACCATTTTTCCTGGATTGGGTAATGGAGCAAACAAAGTACTCTTTCTCTCTAATAACTTCTCCTTCAACAGGCACTTTGTTCTCTGGCATTTTTTGCCTGTGCGTCGGCATTCCACGCTTCTCGCAATATGACAGCGCTAAGGCGCGCTTCGGTTCCTTCATTATCAACATCATTGTGGCTGTGGCGCAATTGTTTTGCGTGCTCTTCTGCTTTGTGGGCTGGGGCTGGTCCATCTGGTGGGGCACCATTATGCTAAAGTGTGCAAGTGAGTATCGCTTAAGCAGCGCGCACCCGCGAATTTGTTTTTCTAATTTCTTACTCCATTTTCACAGGAAAATTAAGCAAAATCAAAAAGGTTGAGCGTTTAGAAATGGAAGAGGAGCGTCGTCAAGCAGAGGCGGCAGCAGCAGCAGCAGCAACTGCGGCAAGAGTGGCTGCCAACGCTGGCGTCGGTACCGCGGCGGCGGCGCCGGCGACAACAGAGAGCGCGACATAAAAACGCAGGCGGATGAACAAACAAAGGGCGTAATGGAAATTTTGTTTTAAGAGG